CATTTTAGGCGATACTTAATATGTTGATAATATTAATAACAAAATAAGTAATTAACCTATTTTGTTATTGTCGGATTTCTAAGGTCGATCAGCTTAAACTTTGGTAATATTTTAGGCGCTATCTAATATGTTGATAATATTGATAACAAATTAAGTAATTAACATATTTTATTATCGTCGGATTTTTAAGGTCACATCAGCTTTAAAAAGACGTTACATATTACATTAAATAAGCGTTACTTGTTATGTTATTATGGTTGATAATGTTTTCGGTAATTAACCTATTTTGTCATCGTTGAATTTCTAAGGCTCTATCAGCTTAAAATTTGGTAACATTTTAGGCGCTATTTAATATGTTGATAATATTTATAACAAATTAAGTAATTAACCTATTTTGTTATCGTCGGATTTCTAAGACCCTATTGACTTTAAAAATATGCTACCTATTACATTAAATAAGCGTTACTTGTTATGTTATTATAGTTCGATAAATTAGAATCAATTTGTATCATAATATTATAACTAATTATCATTAAATTTGTATAGAAGTTCAAACAACTCGACTCGACTAATTACCATAGTAGTTTTTATTTCTCCAAAATCTCGTGTATTTTCTTCTTCATATTAGTGAAATTCTTCTTCTCTGCCAACGATTTTTCCCTTTTGAGATTTTCACGTAAATTTTAATTTTTTTTTAAAATTTTGATCGTGTTTATTTGTTGATCGATAATCGTTTCGATATTATAAGTGGAAAAAATGTCAATCAATAACTTATGATGTACTAAGCTTCTATTTGTTTCAGATCAATGTGAGACTGCTGGAGCTATTACATTCATTTTACATACAATTGAATACGACCAGCATATGCTCCTGCAGAGCCACAACAAATACAACAGGGCTCTTTCTTCGCTTAACTTGATAAACATTTTCTTATTCTGGTTTAACTGTTGTCTCTTCTTCGTCAGGTCAGATCCACATGAAGACTGTTGACCAAGACGTGAGTGCTAAAGCAGAAGCCAAGTACGTCCACAGGAAGAGGACCGAACACTCGTTGACCCACATTGAAGAGCTGCGTCATGGTTCCAATATTCATGGCCGGTGGCAGAGTAAACTGAACCATAAGCACGAAGCGGAAAGCGGGTCGGACGGTAGGAAGCTGAGGTTCCCAGCTGCTTTAACGACACAGATACCGACATCGGAAGTATAATGAATCGAACGCACACCACTCCAATGATAGCCATCGGCTTGATCGTAGATGATCGCAACCTGTAACAAGTTGGCTCCTAGAATGAGGGTGATACAAGGATCGTTGCGTTCCTGCATGCATGAAACTGCTTTTACTACTCGGTCACCAACATACCAATATGTTACTATGAGAAAATTATGGGACAAGACCTCGTACCCCAACAGTTTAACTGTGTCTTGGATTACTCGTAGTGGAGCCCCGGGACCGATTATAAGGCTTCTCAGCCAGACGATCGTTCCAAAGATGAACCCCAAAGTCTGATTGATCAAGTAGACTTTATTAACACTTAATTTGGAAATGGAATGAAAAAGTACACAAACATTATATACGAATAGAAAACTTACGGCACCAAGCGTTGGCGGTGCCATGAGCTCTTCTGCGATCATATGAGGAATCCGGCGACGTTAACCCAAAACGATGTATTCCCTTTCGGCTTTCGGCTACTTTCTTGGGGTACATTCTGCAATTGCAGCCATTTCAATGGTGTTTCACTAAATGTTTTTGCTCTTAGTATTTTCAACACAGTTTGTTAGTACAATTTACCACTATTATGGCCACTTGCTCTTCACTTTCTCCTTTTAGAAGACGAGTTTCTGGGGTGGCATCCAAGCTCTTGTTGGCTTGTTTCGAAGCGAAATCCCCGTCTGCTTCAAGTGCTCTCAGTTTCAAAGATGATGCTTTTATCAATTGGAAACCGATAGTCCAAATGTAGAAACCACCGAGCTACATCCAAACCATGTATGAATACGATTGATCATTACAATTAAACAACCATCTGTATATATGACATACCGCCATGGAGAAAGATGAATATGAAAGTCCAAGTGCGGTGCAGGCATCTCTGTCCCCAAATGGACTCCCATCCTCATTACAGGCAGGGACAACATGAAGAGAAGATTTCCCAAGTTCCCTAATGCAACAAGAATTCATTTTGAGTACTGAAAGGGGTTTAAAAATTAATGCTTTGTCAAACTCACCTGATGTGCACATAGTATGACAAGACCCTCCAGATATGGTTTTGGTTTCAGAATCTTAACCAAGATCCACCCAATTCCCCCCATTAGAAAGGTGATCCCAATGTTTACGGGCATAAACCACCTGTGAATTTGATGATCAAATCAACATTTCAACAAAGCCACACCCACACCCGTATATATGCAGAGGCATAGAGACAAGTGTAGAGTATCTTACCATGAATAATGTCTTGGAACGTGACAGTGTTGGCAAGACTGGCAAACATGAGCGAGGGCGTGAACACGACGAACACGATCTGCGTTAATTACAAAACATATAGACAAATAGATAGATGTATCGACATAAATGCAGGAGTGGTGCGTCGAGGGAAACAAAGAGTAAACTCATGAGTACCCTATTCAAGGATCTCCGGGTGTCTTCTGGGAAAGTTTACAGTAATCAGATGCCAAAAAGCGCCCAACAACTTATCAAAAGCTTGCAGATGGGCAATGCTAGCCACCTCAAACAATGCCCAGAAACCCATGTTTTAGAGCTCTCGAATATACTTCTTCCTGTGATTTTGGATATTGGAACTCTAAGACGATATATTTTCTAGCAAAGCAACCACTGGAATACGTTGGTGGAACATCGAAGGCTAAAAAAGAAGAGAGAGGATGGAATTAACCCAAAAACCTGGGAACTGAATCACGACAAAACCAAAACCAAAACCAAAAGTTGGGGACCTAAACATAATGATAAAAGTAAAGTCCTCAATTAATGGATATGAATATGGTCGTTTGTGGAGGTGGAGGTGGAGGTGGAGATGACAGGGACAAAAGGCAGGTGAAGGTGGGGCGAGTATTCATTCCTCTCTTTTATTTCTTCTATTTAAAACTTGAGGGAAGGCGATTGGCATCATGGCTTGCCCTTGATTAATGTGAAGGACCAAGTTCTGAGAACCACCAGGTCAGAGTCCGCCACCTTTTGTTTTTTAACCTATTTAGGCTTTTGGCTTGCTGGCAGTTTAGATATTGCATTAATGCTTCCATATTTTCTTAGGTAAATTAGCCCATGATAATCTAACTATAAGCAGAGTTTAAATTATAATCGATTTTTTAATTTTATTAATCAAATCACTTAACTATTTACATGACGTCAATCAAATTACTATCGGAAAGTAATATGATAGTTAAATTTTGATATAATACACCTTTGTCCTTATTTTAAGTCATAATTTTAAACATTAATATACAATGTATAACACATGTTATTAATTGTAATTGTTTAATTCTCTTGGCGGCTTATGCATGCTTTCCCAAGCCTCCCAAATTTAATTTCCCCTTTCTCATTTTTTTTCATTTATTTCTTTCAGTTAAAGGGTGATATGTGACACCGTTAGATTATAGAAAAACAATTTAATAAATTTAATCTCCTAATTAAATATTGACACATTTTATAATTAGATTAGATGATAAATTTTTTGAGTTAAATAATCAAAGTAAAATTGATAGAATACATAGTAATAGGGACCAAATGCAAATTATATAAAAAAAATTAACTGTCACATTATATTCTCTATTAAATGTTAATAACTAAGAGTTGGTTGGAATCAATTAAATAGTTAAATGATCGGGTCGATAAAATTAAAATACCAAGTTATCCAACCTAAAGACTTTAGGAGATATTTTCTTTAACCAATGAGACTAGTATTAAGTAAATTTATTTTATTTTATAATTTTATGTTAAATTGAGTTTTTGCAAATAGATGATGCGTCTCCTTCGTTCTCACTGAACCAACTGCACATGAATATATGATGTTGCGATGGCAGTCTCCGTCACCACTGTATCTTATTTCAAACAAAAGCACTCGCATTAATTTCGATGATGACGGCGGCAAATTGGTATGGCGTAACCAATTAACCACTGCCATTTGCCAAAGGTGAAAACGAATAAATTGGTCCCTGCTACCTTAATAGACCACGTGTGCTTCTAAAAGAACTCTAAAATTTATAAAGGAATTATTAAAAACCAAAATAATAATATAATATCACACTTCTTAACAATAAACCTTAATAATAATATCTGGCGATTGAGTTTAACTCAACTAACATGTTTTGATATATACACAGAAGATATAAGATTGGATATATGTAAATTAATATTCTTTTATTTATATGCAGAGATTATATCTATTATATCAATTGTTTAGAAATAATGTACTAATATTCATTTTTATGTTAAGGTGGCTTGAAATTGAGATAGTTTCAAAGCCAAATTAATTTGACAGTTGGATGATACACTTAAAAGGCAGGGAAATTAATTTTCTCACGGGATAATTGCATGTTTGTTCCCTTAAACTTTTAAGTTATTTACAATTGATCCCTAGAGCTTAACTGCAAGTACTTGACTATTTATCATTTGAGATTATCCCCACTCATCTCTATCATTTAGTTATCTCTTCTTCCATTTATAATATTTGAGATCTTAAAAAATCTATTTGTTTGTAATTTTGGTAATAGTAAAATTATCGTTCGACGTAGACAATATTTCATTGAACTTCAATAATTTGATGTGTTTTCTCTGTTAGTCATTTTTTTTGTTCAATATTACTGAACTTTCATGCTTCTTTTTTGCAGTCAAAACGCCAACAAATGCCTTTTACAGAGTTGCTATCGGCATTTTAATGCAAAAAAGAAGCATGAAAGTACCCCACTAGAACCACCCTAGGTGGAAGTGCAAGTCCGCATCGCACTTGCGCGCGCGCGAGAGAGAGAGAGAGAGAGATTAAGTACATTGAAGGGTTTCATCAGTGACTCAAAAACTCTGAACAGTCGAGATTAAGGAATGAATCATATGATCAATCTGAAAGTTCTTATGCAAAGAGAAACCCATATTAGTTATATCTCCTCTTCATTATCGCTGCCACCTCCAAACATGGCAGCCATTTTAAAAGCCAGCTTGGCAGCCATCTCCCTCCTTTGAAAATCAGGCATTAACCTCAAGTTGCTGCGAATATTTCCAATCTCAGACATCAACTGTTCCAAATCCTCGAAATCATAATGCGGGCCGTCATCTAATTCCGAAGCTGTAGCTCGGTCAGGTTCTCTGGCATTGGGTTCCATTCTATCAATTTTCTCCCCTGAAGTAGAAACCATTGGAGAAGCAGCATACGACTCCTTTTCATAACTAGTTATGTTTCCTTGAACGCACTCTGTAACAGACTTTGCCTCATCAACTGACATCCCTGTATCCAGGAATGTGTTAGCTGCACTTGCAGAAACCCACTCGTCGAACATGTCATCCCCTGGTTCAGCTGAACCCGCAGATAGCAGTTCATACTCAAACTGATAATCAGGTTCTTCTTCTGATGAATCTGGACAGGGCAACAATAATATTTAGAAATTAATTAACAGGAAGAATTTTTATTAAAGAAACCAATATCAAATATAACCTTCTTTCTCGGGTAGCGTAGGTTCAGTTATCGTATCACCAGATTTCAGAACCATTCCAGGCCACATATGAGCAGAAAGAGCACCATACAGACGTTCAACTCCTTCATCATCACTGACAAAACCTGCCAAGACCAGTTTCTTTTCCCACATTAACAAAAATAAGCATAAGATCTAACCTATACATGACCCCTTAAGGTTCATTCTAGTGAGAGATTGTCACAACATCTGTAACATCCCAAACTAGGGGTTAGTGGCTAAATTGTAAAGTTTAAGAATTTGATGAATTAAGTAGAAGAATGGAATAATTTAATGATTTATTTGGAAAAAATTCCTAAAGTTAGTAAATTAAAGTATGAAGGTAAAATGGTCATTGAACAAAGATAATATTAAATTTAATAAATGGGTATTATAATATATGAGATGTATGATTGAGAGATAAGTTTTAGACTTATCTTCTTCATCTTCATCTTCTCTCAACGTGAAGAGCCAAGCTTGTAAAGGTGAGTTTCTTTGTTTAGTTGGTTATTTGCTAAATTTATGGTTGGGTTTTGATCATTAGATAATAACTAAGCTTAAGGAAAGCTTAGGCTATCTTAAGATTGAAGATAAAGAAGTTATGAAAGATTAAAGAAAATGGGTTTTTAAAGGAAATTTTGGAAAAGAGTTAATAAGAGATTTTTAAGATGGAATTTGACTTGTCATCAAGAAGAATAAGAGATTTATGAAGTTAGAAAAGATTTATAACAAATTTGAAAGTTTAGTAAGATTCTTAATTTTAAGAATCTTGATGAAATATGGAAGATAAATATGATTTATATGGACATAAGTTGGTTTCAATAATGATAATTGAGTTTAAAGACATAATAGGGGATTAAAATAGAAGATTGAATGAAGAATGATGAATTTCGGGCTTGAAATACAATTTCTGGACAAGGTGCATCGATGCACATTCATAAGTGCATCGATGCATTCCTTTAAAAGAAGAACATCGAATGCCTTTGATGCATCGATGCATAGATAATGCATCGATGCATCCTTTTAAAATAAAAACATCGAATCATTTATGCACCGTGCACAAGTAGTGCATCGATGCATACCTTCATTGAAAGAGGAAATTGGCTTTTCTCTTAGCCTAAGAAGTGACAGTTTAGAATATATTGGAATATTGATATGAATCTGTGTATTGTTATGTAGAGATAGAAAGTGATCCGTTTCGGATAATTGAGGAATTAGAATCGAATCAAAGCAAAGCTAAGGTGAGTGCAATTTATTTTGTACTTATTTTATTGAATTAACATTGGCTTGTGATGAGCCAGTGATGGAGTTACTATGGTAAGAAGTAACTTCTAAATTGTTATGTGATTACCATGTATGCATTAATACATAGAAATAGATGGATGCTATGTTATATGATTTATATGCTTAAGTGAAAATGCAACATATGATATATGTTATTTGACATGACATGCATGGGTACATGAAAGAAAGCTATGTGATATGAATTACATTAAATGATTTACATGAATACATGTATATATATAATACATGTGATATGATATGAGATATATGGTTACACATACATGTGGTATGTGACAGAAGAGAAAGAACAAGTGATACGAAATGTATAATAAATGCCCATAGTATATGATACGAGAGCTATAGGTATGTTGGCATGCCAAGAGTCGACGGTTTACCTATGTTGAAAGGAACATATGGATATTTGCCGAGGATCTTTATGACCTCTGGATAGTTACCGGGGTTCTTTGTAACCTCTGGACAGGTCCTTCGGGACGAATACTGAACTAAGGTTCGGTGCCCCATGAGGGAATTTATACGAGCTGTGGTGACAGCATTAGTGCACAACCTCAATGTACTCACATACCTCTATTCTCAATAATATACATGGGCAATGAAATTGAAAGACAAATGAAAGTGAAAGTGATATAAGAATGTAAGTTGCATGTTGCATGACCTGATTGTATATTGTTATCATACAATAGATTCATGCATATTGATTTGTCGTGATTCAATGATATGAATGCACATACTGAATTATATGTGTTATATGATGAGTATATGGCAAGTGGAAAGGATTATTGATAGTGTTTGTATATGTATGTCTTTTATTTATATGAAATGATATATGGTTATTTATATTTTTATATGCCTCACTAAGTCTATGACTTAGCGTGTAAGTGATTTACACGTAGGTACCAAGAACGAGAAGTGAAAGAATAGAAGTGGCAAAGACAGTATCACTACTAAAGATCAGATCAGAAGTATTTGACAAAGTATGTATTTGGTTATATAAGTGTTGGCATGTAATAAGTCATTAAGTACGAGCACTCTGATCAAGTCTGTATTTTGTTTTAAATAAAGTTTTAAATTTCCCGGGATTTTTCTTAAGAGTCAAGGTTTGAAAAGTCACGTCGGACTCGTATCCGGGGTCGGATACGGTTGGGGTGTTACATTACTCGGTGCCGTTCTCGAGTCAAAAGTTTTTAAAAAGTACATGCTAACGAAATCGTGAAAACTTCTGATCTGATAGAAAGTAAGTATACTGTTTTGCTAATAAATGATATATTGTATTTTATTAGATGTCTGGACAAGACAACTCCCGAGACGTAGCGGGAAATGATAGATTAGCTGAAGGTAGTAATTCACCTGCCTTGGCCAGGCAAGGTGAATGACAGACACTTTCTGGAGTGCCTGTGGAAGACCAAGATGTTTTCTTTAGAACGTTAGACGCGGTGTTGATGCGTTTCCAATCTCCTGCTCCTTCCACTCCGAGAAGGAATAGCAAACGATTTAAAAGGATTAGGAGCTCCTGAATTCAAAGGTGAAGTTGAGGAGAGTCCTGTTGAAGCGGACTTTTGGCTCAATGACGTAAAGATTATGCTAGATGGACTTCATTGTTCTGATATGGAAAAGTTAGACGGAATAGTCTCCTTGCTTCGTGGACAGCGAGATATGTGGACGAACGTTACTCTAAAGAATGACAAGTGACCAAGTGACCTGGTTCTTGTTTTTAGAAGAGTTCAAACACAAGTATATAGGAGACCAGTTCATCAGCAAATGAAACAAGATTCTTGAATCTGAAGCAATTGGATCACACTATATATGAATATGAGTGTGATTCAATAAGTTGAGTCGTTTGCGGCTGAGTTATTCCAACAGAAAAAGATGCATGCGAATGGTTTGTGGAGGCTTACGCCCGAGATTAAAGGAGATGATTGTGGTTAAATCTGTCCTCGTTTCAAGAGGTAGTGAATCGTGCAAAAGCTCTTGAAAGAGCTCAGAATGAACGTTATGGGATCAAAGAGTTCAATCTTTTAAAAGAACGGGGCATTCATCGAGTTTAGTATCACCCAAAAGAAGTAGAGATTCTGGTTTTCGATCTCAAGCACGGTCAGAGCGATGACATCCTCCGCTAGAGGATCAAGTCAGATGAGAGATAGACAGACTCAATTTGTAGAGTCTGGTAATGGAAGAGCACAATTGAGACATTGTCAGAATTGTGGAAGATATCATGGTGGATGTGTAGAATTAAATCTGGAGCTTGTTTCCGATGTGGGGAAATAGGACATTTCATGAGAGACTGTCCATTGAAGGACAGAGAGCTTGCACAATCGAACGATCTGTTTTGATGTCTCAAAGAGGTAGGGGTAGAGGTAGAGAAGAAATCAAACAGAATCTTCTACTCAACAGGAGATGCGCTCCACTGCTAGAATATATAATCTTAATGATAATGAAGACTGAGGACCCAGAATTATTAGCAGGTATTTTTTCGGTTGTATAGTAATGCGTTTGATATTGGTTGATTTAGGCTAGCATATTACATTTGAACAGTAATTGATGAGAGAAGTACTAATTTTAGTTATAAGTTAATTGTAGTTTTATTGATATAAACCCATTAAGGTATAGTGTTCAGGTAAATAGATTTGTGGTTACTTGAGTGGATTAAATAGCGTATGAGAACATGAAAATATATGGTTTAGTTATGCTATAAGGAAATCTTGATAATGAGGAATATAAGAAAGATATGAAATGATAGAGTTTAAAGAATCAAGTAAGATAAGTTTTATAAGTGGTGTTAGATTGTTTATAGCATGAGTGAAAGAGATATGTATTTGAGTAATTAAAGAGGACTGTATATAAGGATTGCTTCATATTGTTATAAAGTGAAAATTCGAGGACGATTTTCTTAAGGAGGGAGAATTATAACATCCCAAACTAGGGTTAGTGGCTAAATTGTAAAGTTTAAGAATTGATGAATTAAGTAGAAGAATGGAATAATTCAAAGATTTATTTGGAATAATTCCTAAAAGTTGTTAGTAATTATTAAGTAGATGAAGGGCAAATGGTCATTGACAAGATAATATTAAATATTAATAAATGGGTATTATAATATATGAGATGTATGATTGAAGAGATAAGTTTTAGACTTATCTTCTTCATTCATCTTCTCTCAAACGTGAAGAGCCAGCTTGCAAAGGTGAGTTTCTTTGTTAGTTGGTTATTTGCTAAATTTATGGTTGGGTTTTGATCATTAGATAATAACTAAGCTTAAGGAAAGCTTAGGTTATCTTAAGATTGAAAGATAAAGAAGTTATGAAAGATTAAAGAAAATGGGTTTTTAAAGGAAATTTTGGAAAAGAGTTAATAAGAGATTTTTAAGATGGAATTTGACTTGTCATCAAGAAGAATAAGAGATTTATGAAGTTAGAAAAGATTTATAACAAATTTGAAAGTTTAGTAAGATTCTTAATTTTAAGAATCTTGATGAAATATGGAAGATAAATATGATTTATGGACATAAGTTGTTTCAATATGATAGTTGAGTTTAAAGACATAATAGGGGATTAAAATAGAAGAATTGAATGAAGAATTGATGAATTTCGGGCTTGAAATACATTTCTGGACAAGGTGCATCGAGCACATTCATAAGTGCATCGATGCATTCCTTTAAAAGAAGAACATCGAATGCCTTTGATGCATCGATGCATAGATAATGCATCGATGCATCCTTTAAATAAAAACATCGAATGCATTTATGCACCGATGCACAAGTAGTGCATCGATGCATACCTTCATTGAAAGAGAAATTGGCTTTTCTCTTAGCCTAAGAATGACAGTTTAGAATATATCAATTGGAATATTGATATGAATCTGTGTATTGTTATGTAGAGATAGAAAGTGATCCGTTTCGGGATAATTGAGGAATTAGAATCGAATCAAAGCAAATCTAAGGTGAGTGCATTATTTTGTACTTATTATTGAATTAACATTGGCTTGTGATGAGCCAGTGATGGAGTTACTATGGTAAGAAGTAACTTCTAAATTGTTATGTGATTACCATGTATGCATTAATACATAGAATAGATGGATGCTATATTATATGATTTATATGCTTAAGTGAAAATGCAACATATGATATATGTTATTTGACATGACATGCATGGGTACATGAAAGAAAGCTATGTGATATGAATTACATTAAATGATTTACATGAATACATGTATATATAATACATGTGATATGATATGAGATATATGGTTACACATACATGTGGTATGTGACAGAAGAGAAGAACAAGTGATACGAAATGTATAAATAAATGCCCATAGTATATGATACGAGAGCTATAGGTATAGTTGGCATGCCAAGAGTCGACGGTTTACCTATGTTGAAAGGAACATATGGATAGTTGCCGAGGATCTTTATGACCTTTGGATAGTTACCGGGGTTCTTTGTAACCTCTGGACAGGTCCTTCGGGACGATACTGAACTAAGGTTCGTGCCCCATGAGGGAATTTATACGAGCTGTGACAGCATTAGTGCACAACCTCAATGTACTCACATACCTCTATTCTCAATATACATGGGCAATGAATTGAAAGACAAATGAAAGTGAAAGTGATACAGAAGGTAAGTTGCATGTGTGCATGACCTGATTGTATATTGTTATTATACAATAGATTCATGCATATTGATATGTCGTGATTCAATGATATGAATGCACATACATGAATTATATGTGTTATGATGAGTATATGGTAAGTGGAAAGGATTATTGATAGTGTTTGTATATGTATGTCTTTTATTTATATGAAATGATATATGGTTATATATATGTTTTATATGCCTCACTAAGTCTATGACTTAGCGTGTAAGTGATTTACACGTAGGTACCAAGAACGAGAAGTGAAAGAATAGAAGTGGCAAAGACAGTATCACTACTAAAAGATCAGATCAGAAGTATTTGACAAAGTATGTATTTGGTTATGTATAAAGTGTTGACATGTAATAAGTCATTAAGTACGAGCACTCTGATCAAGTCTGTATTTTGTTTTAAATAAAGTTTTAAATTTCCCGGGATTTTTCTTAAGAGTCAAGGTTTGAAAAGTCAATGTGACACGTCGGACTCGTATCCGGGTCGGGTACGGGTTGGGGTGTTACAACATCCATACACTTTCAACAAGGAAAGTTATATTCGATAGGTCATGTGGAGAAACATCAAGTAAAACATCTCACAATTATATATGTGCACATCTTCTTGATTTGTTGGTAGAGAAAATACATTATACAGAGCAAGATGTCATGATTAATACAATTTATCATGATTGCGTATTGGAAATTTAGCATTGAAGAATGTTATTCCATATCACTAATTCAGTGTATAGGCAGTGTAGCAACAAAGAACAGTGGATATGATGGTGAAGAAGTTGAAGAAGGGCTTACATTTGTCAAAATCAGCATTAGAAGCAAAGCTTCAATGAACTCAATGTTGTTAATGCACCATTCCAAGCATTTCCTATGAATGTTTGAGGATGGGTCTACATCTCCCAATAAACTGCTTCCTTCATCTTCAGAAATTCCATATTGAGTGAAATCATATGAAGGATGAGTAGAGGAATCAGCAAGTTTGAGTTGGCGTTTTTTGTATTCAGCATGGACAGGATGACCTGGAATTCGATCCACTTTGTTTCCGATGCAGAGTAAAATCTCAAAGTTTTGGATATCTGTGGACACCCAATCCTGAAGTGCAGCCAAGTTGACAACTGCAAGAGAGAGAGAGGGGAAAAAAAGGCAAAAGGAAGGTTGCGGTTACATGACAATATATATACTAATTTATATAGAAATTGTACTCTAGTTATAAATATGTTGAATTGTTGAAGGCAAAGTTATTGCTACAGAAATACAAGGAATTAAACAAGAACTGGAAAAACTAAGATGCTTACATTAGACATATCAAAAACCATGACCAAGGCAGTTGAGTGGTCAAATATAGGGAGGGTTTGAACTGAAAATCCATCTTGAAGATGAGCCATACACAGAGAAACATCAGCAGAGTAGTATTTGGTATTGATAGTCCAGCTGTCGATGGTAAAGATATCAATCATCAGAGTTTGATTTTACTTACTCAACAAAAAGAAAGGCCATCTATCATATAATTAACTAAAACAAACAAACATGTTAAAAGTGAGCAGAAAGAAGGCATTCAGACCCATTGACAACCACTTGGGAGCTATCTTCTTCTTCAAACTCCACAGAGGCAAGCCCTGCAATGTTGTTGTTGTTTTTTAAATAATAGTAATAATAATATTTATCAAATATGACAAAACTTTTAATAAATGCATAGCAACCACGACTCATGTTTTTCCAACAAAAAAATAGAAAGAACAATAGAGGAAATGAGAATTACGGGAGAGTAGTGTGCGCTTGCCGACATTGAGACATCCAACGATGAAAATGGAGGGTCTCTTCCCAGTCTTCTCCTGGGCCTCCAATTTTATGGATCCTTCCTTGTTTTCTTCCATCCGTAGTGCAAATAAGATTAATACATAGCAAGCCCTAATTTGAAATTTTCACTTTCTCCATCTCAAATCCTGAATCTAATCAACAGCCTTTGTTGGCCTTCCCATTATTATCAGTGAAAGATCTATATTTATTTCACAAAAAAGGTAAAGATTCGCAATAAAAGGCCTAAACAAAAAATAGATATTAAGATGATGATAAAAAAGGGTGATCAGGATTGGTACTTAATAAGAGCAGAACAAAAAGCTAGCTTCATTCAATCCAATGACGAAACAATTTTGGAGTTGGAGCAAACAACTAAACAGAATAGAGAGAAATGAACCTAAACATAACTGTAAGTATCAACAAAATGTTTGCCACAGCATAAAAAGCAACGCTTAAAGAATCTCATGTATTCCACCAGGTTAGCACCTTATCTGGGAAAAGGTTGCTTGATAAATTCAGTTAATTAACAACTGGTTTACTCAGATTTTGTGTAGTTCACAACTTAACCTCCAATCCAATGACTTCTTGTCAACTCTTTCTGTTCATGTGTAATTTGATTCATTTCAGGCCTAAAGAACAAAACTTTAATTTTTGGAGTATGTCATTGAGAAGCATGTCTGCAATCTACCAAACTTGAAGGTAAGATGTACATTTGCGTGTCAGATAAATTGTAGTTAGGTGTCAGGAAAAGAGCTAAAACTGACAAAAAATTGCCACAATCATTATAATGTATTGACAAAAGGTTTTACAAGTTGTTGAGATTTGAGATACGGAAGAAATAGGAAACCTCCAAAACTGGAAGATTAGCATAAAATGAGTTATGACCAACACAAGAAGACATCATAGGACAGCCTCAACTCTTGGTTGTGTTGTGCCTGGCCTGGACATCTAAGTGTTGCTTATGTCAGTACAGGTGATGTAGAAACAAATTAAAGGGGGAAAAACAAATAACTAGAGTCTAACAAATAAGGTTGAGGGTTTATGAGATCATACTCTCTTGAAAGAGAAAGAAAAATACATGAACCATAACATTAAAAACAAGAACCATTTGAAAACAACTATTCCCTGACCTTATACATATAAAACTGTACTACAAATGAATTGACCTTACCAAAAAAGATTAAACTCATCCTTGTTAAACATAATAGAGTAGGCTTCCCTACACACCAAAAATAAGAACAGAAACTTTTCCATAGTCCTAATCAAACCTCTGTATCAACTATCAATCCTCTGATTAGCACAAAATTCGAATGAAACACAAAACACCAGAAGAAGATTGTTCAAAGACTCAAATTCCTGTAAGCTAATACAATGAAAAACCCAGTCATTAACACTGATGACTAGAAAAGGAAAGTGGCTTCACAATTTGCAAGTTCCTTCTCCTTGGCGCATTCCCCATCCTCTTAAGTTTGACTGCTTGCAAATGAATACGGCCTACGAATTAAGTAGATTTCTTATCGTGCAATTGTGACGGCTAAGCTGATTAAATAGAACCCAACGTTACTTGAATCACTTACTGCGAAAAGGAAGCAGCATCTTTCAAAAGCTGCTTAAAATATGAATTGCACAAAATCTGATAAAACCAACTTTTTTATTAACTGAATATGACAAGCCACTTTTTTTTGCTGGTAAGGTGCTATCCTGGAAGACACGGAATTAAGAAACTTATAAGAGTGCTCACTGCTGAACTATTCAATATTAAATTAAACTATCAATTTTCTAGCAATTCAGGAACTACAATACTAAAGCAAGCAAGCCAAAAAAAAAATCACTGAAAAAACTATTATCCTAATTATTAAAAGAATAGAAACAGTTAATACAAAAGGAAACCCCGAAACCCCTTTTATAAAGATGAAGATATGGAATAGATTTAATAAACAATTCAAGTGAAAGCCACGATCTTTGGGGTGATTAGCTGATCAATCAAATAAATAACTTAACGATCAAATAGGGATCAACTGGAGTGGAATCAGACTACCTGAGTGAGACGTGGAATGAATTGAGGTTTAATATAACGATCTGAGCTTTGGAAGAATGCCGAGCGAGGGAAGGAAAGAAGCCCAAAGCCAATACTGTGTAAGTAGGAATGCGAAGAAAAGGGATTTCGGATTTTCCTTTTCAATCTCGTAAAAATTTATGCGTAAAATACAGGTTATCACTTTTCTTCCGTTTTCAATCTCGTAAATTTATGTGTAAAATTAATTATTTTTTAAGATTTATATATCATAATTTATATTTTATTTTATTTTAGTTATTTGTTATTTAAAATTTAACAATAATATTGATTAATTATTATAAAATAATATCACATCATTATTAAAAAATATATAAAAAATAATATGTCAGTAGATTTTTTAAAAAAAATTAACAATAAATATTAAAATAAAACTAAAACATAATATTAAATATGATTTTGAAAAAAAATAATTATTGACTAAAACATAAAAAATAATAGTTGTGATACTAAACTTGTAGTTTACCTGATTTATTTAATAAGTCATCATCCCATAAAATGTTCGCGTATGCTGGATTTTTAAAACTATAATTTTTGGGTAACTATTTTATTAGTCCCCAAACTATTATCTTTTCTATCTTCCCTATTAAATTTTATTTTTTATAAATCATCATTAATATTACTTTTTTTAGGGTAAAGTATAGTAATGGTCACTTTTCTAAAGCTTTCATTTAGGTCCCCAACTTTTAAAACTTGTAATATAGTCTCCCAACATTTCGTTCGTTTACAATATGGTTCCCCAACATTTAGTCTGTTTGCAATATGGTCCCCGACCGTTTGACGCCGTTACACTGTCGTTCGTACGTTTGCAATATGGTCACTGAACTTTTCAAGCACTTGCATATTTAGGTCCCCCAACTTTTAAAACTTGCAACATGGTTCTAAATTTCATTCTAAACCCTAAATTCCTTTTCGATCTCGAATTTCCTTTTTCGATTCTCTCTTCTCATTTCTAGCGTAACTTTTCAGTCAGGGATGCATGAGAAATTCTAATCTAACTTTGAATTATGTGGAGGTGTTGACTTGAAAAAGGGTCCATTGAGAGAATACCCGACCAAGGGACTATTGAGACCATCAACGGTTCAAGGTGTAATGTTAGATACATGTCATCTCAGGTGAAGCATAGATGTTCGATGAAATGCTTGTGAGAAAAAAATGGGGATAGAAAAGTAAAGTTGACAAATACTACTAAGATGAACAAAATATCATTGTTGAAAGTCACCAACAAAGCTGGAATTATTTTGTATAAATGACATATAATAATTTCTTCGTTTAATCTTTGTGCTTAAAGATTTTCCAACATGATCAAATATAATTAAATCCCAAATAGCACACTCACCTCTCAGTCTCTTTCGCAACTCGAAAGGCATCATGACAGGGTCAAGTAGCTGCTCCAAATATTTTACCCTGTCATGATGCATTTTGAGTTGCGTGCATGCATAATTATATTCTAAAGCTATAATTCAATACAATTCAACTGTAAAATTTTCAAAACATGTAAAAAAATAATTCGTTCACGATATATCAGTCACATAATCAACGTAAACTTATTAAAAAGAATACGAGCTCACAGGAAGCCAAAAACCACATGTCGAATCAATACAATTCCTAGTAAACTAGTATCAACAGTCTCTTAGATTGAGCCTGACAATTTCACTATGACGATACTCACAACCAATTCCCTGATTTAAAGAAAAACCAAACAAGAAGATCAAAAAAATTTAGCCTAAGACCCTATTTCACTTCTATTCTGATGGACTGTATATCTTTCATAAGGAGCACTAAAAGTTTTGATTAATAAGAAGAAAGAAAATTAGATGGTTTGGTTCAAAACTAACACTGAATATCCAAATCATTGACATGCAGTTCTAGAAACATAAAAATTTCAACAAAAAACACATAATGCAAGCTGAAAATGGGAAAGTGTGAAAGAGGAAAAGCTTACTTTCGGATAGCCCAAAAGAGAAAATAAATACATTATTGCAAGTGAAGGGAGAGAATAAGAAATAAACGCAATCGGTGTTGCCTTCCATCAATTAGTCCTCCATTTTTTCTTTGTAAATAAAAATCTAAAAGACAGAGCACTGCTTGGGTTTACAATTCTTCATGGCGGAAAATTAAGAACAAAAACCAAACTAAGGTGAATGCGTTGTTTGGGATTTCATTATATTTGATCATCTGTTAGAAATCTTTGAGCACAAAGATTAAAAGAATAAATTATTATATGTCATTTATACAAAATAATTCCAGCTTTGTTGGTGACTTTCAACAATGATACTTAGTTCATCTTAGTAGTATTTGTCAACTCTGCATTTCTAATCCCATTTTTTTCTCACAAACATTTCATCGAACATCTATGCTTCACCTGAGATGACATGTATATAATATTAGACCTTGAATCGTTGATGGTCCCGATAGTCCTTTGGCCGAGTCTTCTCTCAATGGACCTTTATTCAAGTCAACACCTCCACATAATTCAAAGTTAGATTAGAATTTCCCATGCATCCCCGACTGAAAAGTTAAGCTAGAAATGAGAATAGAGAAGTGAAAAGGGAAATTTGAGATCGCAAAGGAATTTGGGGTTTAAAATGAAATTTAGGACTGTGTTGCAAGTTTTAAAAGTTGGAGGACCTAAATGCAAATGCCTGAAAAGTTTAGTGACCATATTGCAAACGTACTAACAACAGTGTAACGACATTAAATGGTTGGGAACCATATTGCAAACAGACTAAATGTTGGGGACCATATTGCAAACGTATTAAATATTGAGGGACTGTATTGTAAGTTTCAAAAGTTGAGGGACCTAAATAAAAACTTTAAAAAAATTCAATGACCATTATTTTATTTTACTCTTTTTTTATTTTGATCATCTATCGTTAAAAAATTATCATCGTATTGATGTAGTTTTTTTTCCTTCTATTTTTTATTTTCCATTTCATTTCTCCTTTCACATCAACAAGCCATGTGTCTTTTTTGTAGTTTTTTTTCTTCTATTTTTTATTTTGAATTTCATTGCTCCTTTCACATCAACAATCCATGTGTCATTTTTTAATAAATCAATACTCTTCAATAAGATGAAAACACATTATAAATCTACCTTATATTCTCAAATTTATATATCTTTTGATGTCCTGATTGTAATTTGTTACTGTATTGAAAAGTAAACGTTATTGCTTCATGTTTTACAGTGTCAAATTTAGTTCCAAAAATAGATGGATGAATGTAAGATTGGCGTTGTTACACTTTTAGACGTCTGTTCATTGGGGTGAAGTTCCTAAATGCAATTTCCCAAACAATTACATCACATGTTCTGCTGCTTTTGCCTCCTTTTTGTTACTGAAATTTGTTAGACAATAGTAGAATCTGAAGCTTGAAGATCCCGATAACATTGTGTGCGTTGTTACACTTTTAGACGTCTGTTCATTGGGGTGAAGTTCCTAAATGCAATTTCCCAAACAATTACTCACATGTTCTGCTGCTTTTGCCTCCTTTTTGTTACTGAAATTTGTTAGACAATAGTAGAATCTGAAGCTTGAAGATCCCGATAACATTGTGTGAGGTGCTGAGCCAGACGTTGAAGAGGCACAGTCACCATGTTTTTGGCAATTCTTAGCCAGATTGTGATGTCTCAAGGTGATTGTTGATGAACTAAGGCCGATTGTTTTCACGTTAATGTCTATTTTTCTCTAAAACTCTAAGCCACAGTTTGATCATGATGTACTACAGATGGAGCTAAATTTGCAGTTTCGAAACAGCACTGCTTAACTGCTAGATAACCTACTCGGTTTAACCTGCGAACGGTTTTGGGCCTACAAGTCATAATTGCTCAGGTAATGCTCACATTGCAGTTCTGGATGAATTGATTGTGCATTAGGAAAATGTCAATAACACCTTAAAGAATACTACCACTAGCTACACTTACAGGTTTGGCGGTCGATTCAAGAAATGAGCACTATAGAAAGAGCTGGAAAAAATAAACAGAAAAGGGAATATACTGAGCTGCAGCTTGCCACTGAAACCAGATACTGAATGTAAATAACACTGGCCATTCTTCTAAAATAGAACATTCAAGTGAGCCCCTGTGAGCAGCAAAAAGCTTGATGACAGAAAGAAAAATGACTAACCTGTGCCGGCAGCAGTAACAGCCTGCCTGTACTTCTTGTCCTGGACATCTCCTGCGGCAAAAAACGCCGGGCACGCTGGTCTGAGTTGTACCTGGCTTAGTGATAATGTAGCCATCTGGGTCATGCTGCAACTGGCCTTCCAGGAACTTGGTGGCAGGCTCATGTCCAATGGCAAAGAACAAACCAGAGACTTTCAAATCAGAAACTTCCCCGGTGAGTAGGTTCTTCACCTTGAGTCCTCCCAAAACTCCCTCTCCCATCTCCATAAGCCTCCACCACCACTGAATTCCATATCACCTCTATCTTAGGGTTTGAAACAGCCCGGCTCTGCATGATCTTGGATGCCCTAAATGTATCTCTCTGTGAATGATATGCACCTTGGAACCGTACTTGGTCAGGAAGGTGGCTCCTCCATGGCAGAGTCACCCCCACAATCACAGCCAGGGGCTTGTTCCTGAAGATTGGGGCTGCCCCATCACAGACGCACACGCTGAGATTCCCCTATTCCAAAAGCCACCTGCCCCATCCCCTGAACCAGGGAAGTTGAGCCGCCTCGCTACGGCCCCCGTGGCCACGATGATCGAGTCAGCCAGGACGGTTTTTGCATCGGTGAAGATCTGAACGGAGACGAAGACAGGTCAACCTTGCTGACGGTTTCAGTGAAGACGGTTGTACCAAAGCGGAGAGACTGCTTGCGGCAGCGGTCCATAAGGTCGAAGCCAAGGATGCCATCCGGAAATCCAGGGAAGTTCTCAACATCGGTAGTGGTGGTGAGCTGGCCTCGGGGGCCCAAGCCATGAGCCCTCAAAGAGAATGGGCTGAGCTCAGCACGGCCAGCGTAGATGGCAGCAGTGTGGGCTGCGGGGCCGCTGCCAATGATGCAAAGCTTGGTCCTCAGAGGACTGTCCATGGGTGCAGAGGCAGAGTTGGAAAAAAGATGGTGAGGTGGGAAGGGTAGCCGCAGCCGGAGTGGCGGCAAGGCCTGCCATAGTACGGGCTTTTTTTAACAGACTTTTGAACATCCTGTTGCTAATGCCCTGCTAGTGCTAGGGTTCATTCCATTCATTGATTTGGAATCCGAATTGTTAATTGTTATGGACTTTTGATTCCCTTTGCTTCGTGCTCTTGTTTTCATTCACCTTTTTGCCGTAAGATGCTTGTGTGGAAGACACGGAATTCTTTAAACAACTTAGAACTGACCTAAAGAAAAACATGAAGACTTAGAAATTTATACGAGTGCTCGCTAACTGCTGAGCTATTCAATACTAAACTAACAGTTTTCAAATCGATTCTCTTAAAGATAAAAAATTACGCCTAAAAAAGAAGAAGAAAAAAGACTTGATTGGAAACAAAAAAGAAAAATAAACCAGTTAATAAAAGAAAAAGAAAACCCTTTTATAGAGATAAAGAAACGGAACAGAGTTGATAAACAAATTCAGCTGAAAAAAATCTTTGGGTGGTCATCAACTGATCAACAAATACAACGACTGTAAGATCAAATAGAAATAGAGATGAATTTGAGTGACCTGAGTCGCGGAGTGCTTTGAGATAACGATCATTGAGCTTTGAAAGAATGCCGAGCGAGACAAGTCCAAAGCCGAATACAGCCTGGCGGCAAATGTGAAGGAATGCCGAACGAGGGAAGTAAAAAGGGTTTTTTGTTCTATTTCAAGGATATTATAAATTTGACCAATTTTGTTTTAATGTTTATTAAATCAAAAAATTTTAATTGATTATTAATTTATAGATATGTTATATTTTGATATTAAACTCTTATTCTTTTGATGATATGTCACGATATGTCACGTTATTAAAATTAGGGTATGCAAAAATACTCGACTCAATTGACTTGATATGTCGACCGCCGACTAAAACATAAAAAAAATGATAATTTTCTTAAAAAATATTACGTGACCGGGTTGAGTACCCGACCCAACATTTCTCAGGTCGAGTTCGGGTCACAAAATTGAGTTTTTAGGGGTATCCAGTTAGTTTTTATTCTTTTATTAGATTTTGTATTTCGAACTTTTAAATTTTATGTTCGGATGTTGGAGTATGTAATTTGAAGTTCTGAACATTTAAATTTGTGTATATCTTTTTAAATTAATAATTTGAAAATAAAAAAAAATCAGGTATCGGGTACCCGCAACATCTGGGTCGGAACACGGGTTGAGAAATCACCGACCCGAATATTACAGGTACCCGATAATCAAATACCTAAAAATCCGGGTACCCGTATTTACACACCCCTAATTAAAACAAATTGATTTTTAATTTATTCACTAAAATTTTAATGTATATATATATATACATAACAATTCAACCATAAACTTTTGTCCAAATTTTAATTTAACTAATATACCAATCTCTCACTTAAATTTATCTTCTCCGACACATTCATCTTCTTCAACACCGTCCCTTCCATAAATACCCATAACTTTTGCAAGCTTCTTTCTCAATTATCAATCCTCTCAATTGCATTGTCATTATATTATATAATTAAAAGAAAACTGAGAGAAAAATCACTGTGTTTCTGTTTAATTCCTCCTACTATATAACATCCAAAAAAAATCCTTCTACTGTATTGATTTATTCCCTCTTTTTGGGCTCAAATCTGTCTTAATCTTTAGGGCTTGTTGGCCCAATAGGCAACCCAACAAAAATTTCACAACTTTTATTTTGAGATATACGACAATTTTCTACGGTGCATGAAACTTGTCACGTTGACGTGATAAGTTCTAATAAAAAAATATTTTCATTCAAAATTTTTACTTCGATGTGATTAATTTTAATAAAAAAATTATATTTTATTAGAACTCGTCACCTCGAGGTAACGAGTTCATCACCTCAACATAACGAGTTCCATAAACATTATAAAAATTGTAATATACCCCCAAAATAAAAACTCGACTGACCTAACGAGCTAAAAAAAACTCGGACGCCGTAATGGGCCAAAAAAACCTAATCTTTAGTCTTTCTTCTTTTGTCTTTGTTTCCAAGCCTCTGGCTGGTGTTCTTTATTTGAGAATTTATTGTGCTTTTTGTATGATATTTTGATGTTTTCGGTAGCTATGAAATTTTAATTACTGGCATTTTTATTTATGCAGAGGAAATGATGGAAAAAATGATTTGCAGACATGGGTCCAATTGCATATATTGATCCTGCAAACTGTAAGACTGATACCTTTTCTTTTATATTCCAAAAAGTTACATAAGCATATAATTGGTACTCTACCCTTTTTTACAAGAGCATATAATTGACACTCTACCCTTTTGTATGACACTCTACCCTTTTTTGTGAGGGTCAAGACATTTCCAAACTGTTGAAACTAAATGACGGCACAAGTAAAACTGGACTAATTTGAAAACTACAATCACACACTACATAGACGACTAGTGGTAGTGGAAACGAATAACTAAAGGCAGAAGCACACATTATCATCCTGGTTTTACTCGATCCACCTTACCTCCACTGCTCAGCTTTGCTCAAATGGAACACGTACAAACAACTGTCCATGATGGGTTACGACTGATGTTGCTGTGGATCGATCCTCGACGGCAAGCTGACAACCTACCGCCAGGGAACACAATTTACAGAATGATGAAGAGCTACATTGCCCCCTAAATAATGTGCAACGGAGATGAGCAAACATTGAACATTTTGGGATTGACAGATATGGAACGATGGAAGAATAGCAGCAGTAATGAATGTCTAGAGCAGTGCATCAAACGCACCATAGAATTTGAATTGGTTAAAGAATCTGGCAAAAAGGTTCTAGATTGTCCTTGACTCCTTTCCTTAAGATTTGCTACAGTAACAACTCTGAGTCTGACTGGTTATAAATCAAATAGAAAAGAACAAATCCACTGTGAACACAGTGGTTAGGTTCTTAACTGCCTGGCACTTTACTAGCAGAATATGTTCATGATAATGAAATCTAGAGAGACACAACGGAAGTTTATTCTAGTTAGTAAAGCAATTATAAGAATACTGCCCTGTTAGAATATGTTAGTACCACACCTTTTTGAACGGTGTGGCACCCCAAGGATTATCCGGATGCTCAGGTTCACCACTTATTACTAGGCGGGGTCAGATTGAACACGCACCTAAAAATGCAAAATAACCACATAAGAAACCTCCATAGACGGTGCAGAAAATTTGCATTAATTTCATCAGGGGAGGAACGGTATTAGCTACTGCCATGAAATAAACATCTATGCTGCACCATCACATGCTGCATTTTAGGGTCAGTCTTTAAATGACGGTCATTTCAGTGCAATGCACTTTTGTGCGGGTTCGAACCATGTGTGCTAGAAGAAAATGAAACTATACGTAGTTTTACAAGCTTGTTCACTGACCTCCTCACGAAGAAGACCGGGAATTAAAGCATAGACCTCAAAACAATCTTTCTGCAAAACCAAACAAGTAAAAACTTTCAAAACTCCAGAAATCATGTCATTTCTGGAAATCAGGAGCAAAAAAACTTACAGTTTTCTGCACAATGATCTTAACCCAATCTGCTGAGTATCCAATATCAACCACTGCAGTCTCGACACTAACCAATTAAGAATTAAGTCAAACAAAATGTTAATGCTCATAGTAAAAACCAAAGAAAAAGAACCATGGATCTTAACTGCGCCTTCGAAACTTTGGTAGAAGAAGCCTTGACAGCATAGTCCGAATATGATGGTTTCTTACGTTTAACAAACCTGCATTAATATGCAAGAATCCAGCATCATAGATCTTCATCAGCATTAAAACAGCCAGAAAGAAAAATATGTTTAAAGGACTTGAATGACATACCCAAGCTTTTAAGCTGTTTTTCACGCTTTTGTTGAGCAATAGAATTCTTATCCTACAAAAGAAGGGCGGATTGCAATATAATACTATTATTGAAAGATTACATGTGAAAATACAGAATTAGAAGCACAGTTCTTTTTTGCCTTTTTCCCAGTTTATGGATGAATAGGATGGAAAAATACTGGAGATAATTGCTTACTAGATTTTCACACACACCTTAATTATGGGGTCACTGACTTCACCATTACGGAAATGACCTGAGTGCCAACCCTTCATAGCACGTGTAGCTGCATCCCTTCGTGCTCTACCGGATCCTGAAGCTTAATTACAAATTGCATCAGAAAGAATAATGGAAGGTATAATTAAGAAATATAAACCTCATTAAATGGATTCTAATTAGGGACACAAAGTGTAACAAACTTTTGATAGTAAAGAATATCACCATAAACTTTTATGCAGATGTTGGGAAAACATGATTGTGTAATGTTAATACTTCTAAAGACAAAACTTACCACAATATAAATTCTTTGATTTTCTATAAAAAAAAAATAAGATTACCAGAGTGTTTATTCCTTTTGTTAATATAAGGCCAAAGTAAAGAGATGCGACGTTTGCTTTCGTCTATTTCGAAACCAATGAGGATATGCTCAAGGCCATTGAGAAGCTTAATAACGCTACGATTGATGGGAAAAGGATATTTGTTGCGGTGGTGAAATATCAGAAAAGAGATGTGCACAAGGAAATATGGGGTAAAGAAGAAGCTCCAAGAGGAGTACAGGAGACGTTCCAATGAGGGGAGTAGATAAATCAACATCTTTTAACAAGTTTTGCGATGATAGATCGTACAAAGAGTCATTGATGGAAATAAAGAAGGATCAAGCGGGTGATGGAGAAAGGAAGAAGAAAGGGGATGGGGAGGTTAAGAGTCCTCTGAACGTGTTCATACCTGTGGAAGAAAGGGAATGGATCAAGCTGTCATATACAAGTATTCTCAAATCCACTATTGATTTGGAGTCTATCCAGAAGGTAATACAGAGTGACGGGTTCAATGTCAAAGTGGCGACCTGGGATATGCAAAGAATGTTTGCACTATCATTTTCCCATCAGAGGATAAGAAGAAGAAAACGATGGAGAACAGAGCGAAGGATTTAGAGTTCTGGTTTGAAAGGTTGGTCCTTGTGTATCAAGATGGAGGAGTGCCTATGGCCTTTTGCTCAATTTCATTAATAGGTGTGCCTCTGAACTGCTGGTGTGAAGATTTCTTTTTGAAACTGGCATCGAGATGTGGGTCTCTGGTTAAGATTCATGCATGGTTTTCAGAACCGGACCGGTTAACAGATCGGTTAATGAACCGGTTATGATATCGATTTATTGGTTCAACCGGTTGAATCAGTTTGATCGGTCGAAAGAATCGAACGACGTCATAATTATTTAAAAAATTAAATAAAAATATCAAAAATATTTAATAAAAAATAATTTTTTATATCACAAGTCATGTTCAAAGCAAATCATAACATATATAAGTTAAAAACCATAAAATCAAGTAGAACAAAATGATTCAAATTAACTACAACATAATATTTAAGGTAAAACATATTAAATAATAAATATAATTATATAACTATAATTAAAAACTAAATTTGGGGCTAAAAAATTATAACAAAATGATACTGTTTGGTTTAATTTTTTTTTAAAAAACAATCTCACATGACTAAAAAACATAGAAGAACATCTCAAAAGTCTAAAAAGTAAAAAATATGAGAACAAAACAATCTCACATGGCTAAAAAACATAGAAGAGCATCCCAACTAACTTCTATAAATAATAGAGGTAATTTGACATTCAAAATCATGGAGCCTTTTGGTGAGCATTGAGTGAACTATTATTTCACTTTAATCAAGCTCGAATTTTAGGCTTCAATCGAGCTTCTAATTTTTTTTAGTTCAAGCATTTTCGAGTTCAAGTTTCAATATTATATTTTGAGTTCGAGTTAAACTTGATAATTTTTAGCTCGTGAGTTTAAGTCGAGTTGAGCTTACTTTTAAAGTTTTCAAGTTCGAGTCGAGCTCAGCAATACTCGAGTTCGACTTGGTTCGTTTAACAAACGACGTCGTTTGGTTTAATTTAAAAAAAAAAACAAAATTAGTGGTTTTTTCAGTTTTTTCTGGTTTTCAGCCGGTCCGGTTCGAACGGTTCAGCGATTTCGGTCGGTTCACTAGTAGCGGTTCAACCGGTGTAAATTGAACCAGACTAGACAACGGTTCCTGATTGAACCGGCCGGTCCAGTCTGGTTTTCAAAACAATGGATACAAGATGAAACTCTCCAGAAAGTTGATTTTCGTGCAGCAAAATAGGTATTAAGGGTGGCGAATCCGTTTGACATCCCTGAGTTCATTATAATAAACACGAATAGGAGGCCTTATAAAAGCAAGATTAAGGTTGATTCGCTAGAGGATAGCTACACAGATGTTATTTGGAATGAAGTAGAAGTAGATTCCTCATATGGGTGGGAAGATGATTCGTCGAGAAGTTATTTGAAAGATGAACAGAATCTGCAAGAGGGTTTGTTTCAGGAGAACATGGAATACCATCAGTCAGATAAAATCTCGTATGAAAGGGTGAAGCATGGTTGCAGGAGAATCAGAACGGTGGTCTCCAAGGAAATAATGAGGTGTTTAATACTCCAGTTGTTTTGGGTCAGGCTGCATTAATGATTGGCTCAGGAGAAGAACCAAATGACTTTTTGTGAGCCAGTCGAATCTAGGGAGAGTGGTGGAAGTCAACATGGAGCGTCAGGAAAGTATTTTTTTCTTAATAATTATGGTGGAGTAAATTTAGAAAATGGTCTGAGAAGGACGGGATCTAGCCCTATAGCTTTTGAAGAAAACTTAATTGGGTCTAATGAGAGACCCAATCTTCGGGCTACACATCCAATTAAAGGGAGAGGTGCTCTTACCAGTTAAAGGAATCTGTTGAGAGAGAAAGATTATCGTCGAGATTCCTTAATCGATCTAAGTCTAAGTCTCTTTCTCCAGTTAGGAAGCGATCACTAAATCGTCAAGTGGACAGACAGGCTTCGGTGGGGAGAGATGATAGCAGATTATTCAATAGGGTGTACAGTAGATCAAGAATAAATGGGACGTCGATGGCCTCGGAAAAGGAAAGTTCTTTCCCCTTTGTGTCTTCGAGAAGGTCAGTTGACATGGAAGAAGCAGAAACTACGTGGAAAATCAGCAATATGATGGGTATAACCTTTAGGGATAAGAAGAATGTGTTTGTGGATAAAGTGGTCAAGTTGAACAATGAGAGGATTAAGAAGAATGAGAGTTAATCTCTCATTTCACTTGAAGGTAATTTTGTTTTCTTTTGATGATGAAATTGTCAATAATTTCATGGAATGTGAAGGGGTTGGGTAGAAAGGAGAAGGCTAGAGCATTGAGAAGGTTGATTATGGAGAAGAAGTCTTCTTTTGTGTTCATCTAGGAATCGAAAATGGAATTAGTAAGTGCAATGTTGTTGAGAAGGATTGGGGGAAATATTTGCGGGGAGTTATACTGTCGCCTTCAATTGAATCAGCAGGGGGTATGATAAGTTTGTGGGATGATAATGTTTTTGTTCTAAAGCAACAACATAGTCACAGGAGGTTTATTGCGATTTGGGGAGAATTTAAGGAGGTCGGTCTGTTGTGTTGCTTTATAAATGTTTATGGGTCGTCTTTGGATTCATAGAAAAATATGATTTATTTTCATAGAACTTATGTCTTTCATTGTACAGTTGGATGTTCTTTTCTGTATAGGGGTTATTTTAATGTTTACTTGAACCAAGAGGAGAAATTGGTGGGTCACAAAATTTGTATTTGATGAGGATATTTAATGATTTTGTGGTGCAGGCGAATCTAGTTGATTTACCCTTGTTAGGTGGTCATTTTACGTGGTGTAATAACATGGAAACATCAACGAAAATCAGATTGGATCGATTCCTGTTAGATTGTCGTTTTGTAATTGTTTTTCCAAAAATATTGTAACTACAAATCTCACCCCTCAACTTTAATTTTCTTAATTTAATCACTAAACTTTAGACATTATATTTTTTAATTCTCAATAGTTTTCTCTAATTTTGTGTTGACTTAAACATCTTTTTATTAATTTTTAGTTAACTTGGTATTTTAATAAATTTTTTAACCATGTAGATCAATCTAAATTTTAACCATTGTTCCTTGCAACTAGTCACTATATCGGTCATCATTGTTGTTGACATTAAACTCAAAATTTTCAAATCATTATTTTAATCCTTAGAGCTCAAATTTGATTCTCATTCCACAAAAATCTTAAAAAGAATTCAATCCATCAACCACTATTATTGTTTCCTATAATCCACTTCATCTAATACGTAAATGAAATCCAAATTATAAAACCATCACATATAGAAGTTGAAACAAAAATAAAAAAACGGGAAACTTCAGGGGTGAGTGAAATCCTAATTCTATTTTGTGTCTCTTGGAGTGTTGATTCAGGGGTGAGTGATCATATAACGGGAAACTTCAGTCTCTTTTTAATATTTAACAAAAACGGTGTCTCATGTAGTGTTCGTACTGTTGATGGCTCCTTATAACCGGTTAAGGGCAATGGTTTGATTCACCTTAATCATCGCATTATTATGTCTAATGTTCTCTATGTTCCGAGTTTGACTTGTAATCTTGTTGAAAACATTTTGATGTTTCGATATAACAAATTAAGTTAAATGAATTTTAAGATTTTACAAAAGATTTTCTAAGTATATTCGATGTAATTATTCGAATATCAAAATATTACTCCAAGTCTTTCAAAGTTCATTTTAGTCCTTACTAAAGTGTAAAATTGTGTTTTATACTTAAACTATTTTTAAAACAATTTTACAAAGTATTTCGAACCGTTTCAAAGCCAAGAAAAATCAGATTCTCCAGGGGGTACAGATTTCCCCCCAGGAGGTACAGATTCCCCCCCAGGGGGTACCGATTCCCCCTGAATGGTTTGGCTCCGAGAAAAACAGAATGCTCGGAGGGAACCGATTCCCGCCTGTTTAACGGTCAAAATATTTGAATTTTACACTTAGGGAACCGATTCCCTATGAGGGGGTACCTATTCCCCCACGCTCCAAGCTGTTTTATTAATTGATTCTTATCCCCAAACGGCTCCAAAATATCCCCAACAGCTATATACGACTTCAAACACATTCCAAGCTATAAATACAAGCCAAGGACACTTGAAGAAGGAAGAGAACAACTATCCAAGCAATCAAACACAAGAGAAGAGTTTTTCAATCTTATTTCATCTTTCTCTTGTAAATATTTTGTTCTTGTGAGTTTAATCTTGTAAACACCTACCTTAAAGAGGTTTTCTTGTTTACATTTCTTATCCTTTTGTAAAGGGGAAATGTTTTGGCTTAGCCCGTGTAAAATCTAGGAAAAGGTTCTAGCTTAGCCCGTGTAAAAGCTAGGGAAATGTTCTAGTTTAGCCCGGAAAAACTAGGGAGTTTGTAAGGTTACTCTTTATCCTCAAAAGAAAGAACAAATTAGTGAATTTGTTGGAAAATCCTTGGTGAGGAGCTAAGGTAGTGGACGTAGACTTTGGTTGAGAAAGTTGAACCACTATAAATCGCTGTGCAATTCTCTATCTTTCAATCTCCTTACTCCCTAAACACAAAACCATTCAGACCCCTCTTTGCAAACCGTTCCGGTTGTCGATTCGAGCTTCCAAAAATCTTAACAAATCTTATTTCAATTAGAAATTTATCTACAAATTTGGGTTGTACTTCTCATTTTAACAACGGTTGTTGTGAATTTTAGGATTTGAACTCGGGGATGGTGATAGGCCATGCTAGGCGTCGTGGTAGACTATACATCCTTGAAGATCCTCCTGCTGCTCTCATTCCAAACCATCCACCTTTAGCATTTATCTCTTCCTTTGTTTCAGTTTCTCCTACAGATGCGACTGTCGAAATTGTGTTATGGCATTTTCGGTTAGGTCACCCTAGTTTTCCTTAAATTGCAAAATTGTTTATTAACAAAAATTATGCATCATTTTCTTGTGACATTTGTTCTCTTTCCAAGCACATTAGAAGCTCTTATCCTCATTTTCTCTCTCTCTCGCCTAAACTATATTCCTTAATTCACAGTGATATTTGGGGACCTTTGCGGGTTACAGGTTTACATGTAATTCGTTGGTTTATCACTTTTATTGACGACCACTCTCGTACCACTTGGACCTTTCTTATGAAGGAAAAGTTTGAGTATTGTACTATATTTAAACGCTTCCATAAAATGATTGAAACACAATTCTAGAGTTTCATTGGCATCCTTAAATCTGATAATGGTGGGCAATACCTCTTTCATTCGTTGGGATCTTTCTTCCAGAAAAATGGAACAGTCTACATCATTTCCTATGTCGACACACCACAAAAAAATGGGGTCACTGAATATAAAAATCATCTTTTTCTTGAGATAACCCGAGCACTCATTTTTTCTTCTAATGTTCTGAAATACCTTTGGGGCAAGACTATCTTAATAGCTACCTTTCTCATCAATCATCTGCTTAGTAAGATTATTACCTTTAAGTGTCCCCGAAATATCCTTTCCAAAAATTCCCCTCATTTCAAACCTTTCACCTCTTCTGTTCCTCTTTGTGTCTTTGGTGTACTGCCTTTGTCCATGACCACAATCTCCAAAAATATAAACTTGATCCTCGAGCGATCTGGTGTGTCTTTGTTGGTTATTTAAATCTTCAGAAAGGTTATTGTTGTTACTCTCCTTCTACAAAATGGTTCTTCACTTTTATGGATATCACTTTCTAAGAGCATAAACCATTATTCTCAAAAACTAAAATCCAGGGGGAAAGTTGGTCTAAATTTCAATTTTCATCGATTACTACTGAGTTACACATCAATCCATCTTCTACTGAAACAACTATCACTCCATAACCTCTTAACACCACCACATCTAATGATGAAAACCAATCTATTAATCCCACTGAATCTCATGAAACACCCATGCCATCTACCGATATCCTCGCCTACAAAAGACAATCTAAACAAGCCCTACCATCTACACCGTAACCAATGCATTGTCAAGAGCCATAAACATGTTTAAATCCCTCAACTAACAGAGGAGATGGTGACCAAAGTAAGTTGGATGTGGTGATTGATATTGTGAGTTACTAATTGCTCAAAGAAAGAGAGTTAGACGATGTACAACTCATCCTATCAGTAAATTTGTTGCTTATGGTAAACTAATGCCTAGTTTCAAGATTTTCACATCTCAGGTTGATCATATTCACATTCCAGAGACCATAGAGGATGCATTAAAAAGTCCTGAGTGTAAGAAGGCAGTTGAAGAAGAAATTTTAACTCTATAAAACAAAAAAACTAGGTCATCATTGATTTACCTAAAGATAAGAAACCCAAGAAACCGATCAGCTGCAAATGAATCTTTACTATGAAATTCAAGGCAAATGCAAAATTGAGAGATATAAGGCTAGACTTGTGGCAAAGGGGTTCACTCAGACTCATGGAGTTGACTAGCAGGAGACCTTTGCTCCAGTTGAAAAACTCAACACTGTTCGATTTCTATTATCATTGGCAATAAATAAGGACTGGATACTTCACCAACTAGACGTAAAAAATGCATTCCTCAATGGCAATCTTGAAGAAGATGTATATATGCAAGTTCCACAAGAAATTCATTATGGAAATAATTGGGTATGTAAAATGCTGAAATCCTTATATGGTATAAAACAATCACCTCAAACTTTGTTTGACAGATTCATGAAGGTAATGTTACAAGACAACTACAAACAATGTCAATCTGATTACACTCTGTTTGTAAAAATTACCCTTGATAAGAAGAAGTCAATCTTGATTGTCTACGTTGTTGATATCATCATCACGGGTGATGACCAGATGTCCTAAAAATAAAGAACAATCCCTACGATATTATTATTGCAAATGCATGAATATAATGTAATTACTAAATAAGGAAAGAGTAACGAGGAAGAAAGAAAGACTTGTTTGATTGGCAACTCAAACGAAAGCTTGAACTCTAATCTAATTAAACCCTAATTATCTTATCTTTTAACAAAATCCAAGAGTTCCTCCTTCAATTTTTATTCACTACAGCTTCTACTACTACTGGCATTAGAAATTTATTTCAATCACACACTCCTGCTTTAACTTCAAACACCCTAACCCTTCATTCTTTTCTTCGTGTGAAGTTCTTCTATCTTGGGACATTTGACTTAATTTCTTTTTATTTTCCGTTCGGTCATACGACTTTGAACTTCAAAGTTTCCGACATTCAGTGCAATGCTAATGCCACCACAACATTTCGAGTATTTTTTTTAATTCTCAATAGTTTTCTCTAATTTTGTGTTGACTTGACATCTTTTTATTAATTTTTAGTTAACTTGGTATTTTAATAAATTTTTTAACCATGTAGATCAATCTAAATTCTAACCATTATTTCTTGCAACTATTCACTATATCAGTCGTCATTGTTGTTGACATTATTAAACTCAAAATTTTCAAATCATTCTATTTTAATCCTTAGAGCTCGAATTTGATTCTCATTTCAAAAAAATCTTAAAAATAATTCAATCCATCAACCACTATTATTGTTTCCTATAATCCACTACAAGAAAATACACCTTTAATGACACACGAACGATGACACATGCTAATTTATGACTTGCAAAAAACGTGTGTCATAAAAAATGTCATGTTTTTTAAAATCTGAACGATTTATGACTTACAATAATGTGTGTCATATTTAATAGTCATAATCCAAAAAATTTGCAAAAACACGGAGTACAGTTTTAATTGTGTGTCATATGTAAAAGTTGTATTTTAATTTCCCCCCATTATTTTCATCATTTCCCGCTTCTTCCCCCTCGATAACAAAGTTCACGGCTCTTGCTTCCCCCATTTTTCTCTTTTTTCCCTTTTTCTCTTTGCATCAGTCCACTGGTTTTAATTGAATTGAGTTACAGAAACTGAGAATCAATTTGGAAAAGTTTCAGCAACAGAACTTGCAACTTGCCCAAGCAAACAACCAGATGTTATCGGTAGATTAGTATTGCTTCTATTTGTTTGTTTCTCAGTTTAGTAAATCTTTGAGGCATTTGGCTTTTTCTGATATTATGGCTCTAATGAGGTTGATGTATTATATTGGTTTTGCAGGAACTTAATTCAGGGAAAGATAGGGTATATATTATGGACATCTATGTTTCTTAAACTTGTTTACGCTTAACCCTTTTTGTTGTATGTTTTTGAGACTTGACCTTCGACTGTTTTTTCTCTTTTCAGCTAAAAGCCCTTAAACATGAATTGGGATGTAAAAATATTGTGCTTCAAGCAATAAAATTAGAGGTATCTTTTTGCAATACTCTACTTGGCCGAGTGTAGGTTGCAAACGAGATTCATATTCTCGAAAGCTACCCAAGTTCTACGCAGGAAAAACAAACGAATTTAACTTGGTTGTTACTGATTCATAAGTATTCCTCGTTCTCTATTCCACCATTCAATTTGGGTTTGTTCCAGTTTCGATTGAGTTTTTTATATTTTATGAATGGGTTTTCTAGAATTCTTACAGAGTACACCTGAGTTTCATGAAAGATATGATTTGTTTTTTTTCTCTGTTTGATATCTTTGGCTGTTGTCTCATTTTAATTTTTGCTTTTGGGTGTTTTTTCACTTTTTCGATATTTACCCCTCCTTTTACAATATCCAATGTATTTGAACATTGTATGAATTGCTTCCAAACTAACTTCCAATGCTAAATGCTGGAACCACTAAGATATGAACTTGCAAATCCTGTAAATACATCTATTTTCATGTGAATTTCTACGAATGCAATTCACCATTGTTCATTGTTGAAATAGTTATGTCTCTATAATGTTTGATTGTTTGTAATGATATGTTTAAAACTATTAATAAAATGGAAATAACATATTATTAAAGCAGGAGTGTAAACTTGTTCTTTGACGGACTAGTGTTGAAATTTGCACTTCTTGATGGAAGAATAAGGTGCATAGAAAAAAAGGATTCACATTCTTGTTTATCATGTTGGTCAGTTATCGTTAGTAAGAAAGATTGGCAGTATAGTTCTCATTGTAGTCTTTAGTTTCAATGGCTATGCTTCCATTTTCTAAAATGTGTAGGTTTAAGATGATGAATTTGCACCAAGTTCTAAAAATTCATCTTTTTTTCTAGTTTAATTCTGAGTAATCGTATACTTTTCTATTTATAATTAGGACTGATTATTGACAATTTAACGAGCATATGAGAGGGTTTACATGAAAACATATTGTGTATATTGTGACTGAAAGTGAAGCTAAACTATCTTAAACCAAGTCATGCATTTCAGCTTAAAGAATATATGTCTTAACATGTCGGGCTCTTGCCCATTATATAGGTTGTTTACTGTTGCTCAAACAGTTATCGCAAACTACTACTTCTGTGTTTTTCAATTATTTGCAAGGTTAGATTGCTCTATTACTTTCAAATATGTAGCAAATTTTGTCTGATGTTGCTTGTTAAGATAACTTTTGTTTCTGTCATTTTGGTTCTTTAATTTAGCAATTGCATCATGTGAGACTGATTGTAAATTTGCAGAATAGTGATGTTCTATGGATACCACCAAAGAAAGGTCTTGATCTTAGCAACTTGACAGAAACTTTAAGTGGAGCCTTAGGGGTATGTATCTTCATTTCATTTTTTTTCCTCATGCAATTCCTAGATCTTGGTCACACTGGGAAATTTTTACATCTGTTTCGGCAACAACGAACTAACAAGACACAATAAGTATAAACAATAAATTTGCAGTTCTATTTCAATGTTCTTTGTTGGAAAGTTTTATTTGTCTACTGTTAACTTCCTAAAAAGGCTACTTTTAAGGCCTTTTTCACTTAAGTTATTATTTGTTTAAAAGTTCATTTTAGGCATTTTAAGATCATGTAGTTGCATATAGTTGCATTTGTGGTTGTAGTGCTATTTTTTCTCTTAATGATGTTGCTTGAGGGAAAGGTGCAGTTTGTCTATGATGTGCAGGAATAGCAAGCAAAAAGGATTCGTTGGGAAGTAATGCCGCGGCATCACACGTTGCTGAAGCATATTGAAATGCCTTGGCATTTCTGGCGCAAAAAATGACAAAAAGATATAGTTGACACTGCACGTGGAATGATTGTTGTAGCCACCTTCTAGAGGACTAAGGCCACCTGGAGAATTAAGTTCATGCTTATGGTGTGATTCTAGGGGTATTTGACACCTAACAACCTAATCATTACCCCTAGATCCTTTTATTATAATGACATCTAAAGGGAGAGAAGGGATGAGATATGAAGAGACACACGCATAGAGCAGAAAAAAATCAGATTTTTATTTCCTTTTCCTTTTCTTTTTCCTTGGGTTTTCCTCCATTGATTAAGCTCCAAGGAGTGGCGAGCTAGGTGCCGAGAGGAGCTAGCGAGCTAAGGTGATTCGTGGTGGCCGAGGAGACCTCCGGTGGCGCGTCAAATGCTTCTTCTCACTTCCTTTTTTGCTACTATTTTTCGATTTATTTGTGGGTTGTTGGAACGAATATTTGCATGACTTTGTATTTGGATATTTCGAACCCCACCATAAACTAGGGATGGCAAACAGGCGGGTCGGGTACGGATACCCCCTCCCCACCTAATATTTTTCAATCCACCACCCTCCTACCACCCATGATGGGTACAAATTTTCAAATCCACACCTGCCCACGCGGGTATATTTTCAAATCCATCCCCACACCCACTACCCACTAGCTACATACCCATCTAGACCCGCCTGACAGCAAACTAATGGGATGTTGGAGTTGGTTCCCAGACAGTTCGTGATGGGGTAGCAGCGCATGCTTCAATTTGTCAGAGGAGTAGCTCTACGAATGTTATGGAGATAGATTGTAGGGAGCATGTAGTCGCAGAGCTGGATTGTTATGTTGCTTTCGATGTTAATGCTTATAGTGCGCCTAATATGGGTTTTGAGGGGCTAAAGAACATGGAAACTGCTGCTTTTGATGTTAATGCTTATAGTACGGCTAATTTGTGTTTGGATGGGCAGCATGGGCTAAAGAACATGGAAAGTGACGTGATTAGTGGGATTATGGGTTTAATCAAAGAGCCGAATATTTCCCTAATTAAAGACCAGATTAAAGACTAAATATCCTTAATATTTGAATAAATTATATGTTATAATATTATACAATATTAAAATTTATAAATTAGTCTCTAAAATTACACCTAAATTCATAATGGTCCAAAATTTAATAGATATTTAGCTGGGTGGGCGGATGTGGGGCGGGCGGATACGAGGCGGGTAATGTCTCAAACCCATTACCCGCCCACCATCCACGACGGGTACTACTTTATAAATCCACACCCGCCCACTACACGCTAAAATTATACCCATCCCCGCTCCAATTGGAGCGGATGCGGTACGAAATCCACGAAACTGTACCCGTTTGCCATCCCTACCATGAACTAACTTATTTGGTGGTGGTTGGTTTAATGGATGTTTAAACTTTATTTTGATGATATATTTGAGTTTATTTTGGTTCTTTATTTGCTTTGCTTATGAATGCTTCGCCATCTAGGCTTGTAAGAGGCATGAAAATGTCCATTTCTTAGATGAAGTTTAGGTATTCGGGAGAAACCTAAGCTAGAAATACTTGTAAGTATTCGAGAGAACCGCAAGATAAGATCCTCATAAGCAATGGGTTATAGTATTTCCAAGGGGCTTTGAAACGACCTAGGGATATTACAACCTAATCCCTTAGATCTCGGGAGAGACTAGGATAGGATTTCAATGACTAAAAAGGGTGTTTTTATCAATAGGGTAGGCTGGCCAACATGTTGAGTGAGAGCAGATGCCTTGGCATCCTATTCTGTTAGGTTCATTTAAGAACATTTTAGGAAAGCTCCCTGTCGAGCAAGTAAAGACTAGATAACTTAGATATACCTGATAAATAAGTTTAGCATCCTTAGATCAACCCTACCATTCATTCCATTGGAAGCTTGTCACGTGAGGATTATTTTCTTTTCATTTTATTTACTGTTATTTACCATCTTTCATTGCCTCGACATTACATCATTTTCAACACTAAACATCTTATCTTGCCATTATATTTCCATCTGCTACACCATCAGACCATTCATCTACATCCACCTTCATACACATTTTCATTTTGCCGTGACATTTGTTTATATAAAGACTAACTATACATAGATAGATTAGTGCTTAGCTTTGGTTAGACTTTAGTAATTTCACCCAATCCCTGTGGAGACGATACTCACTCATCACTGTATTACTTGAGCGATTGTGTATACTTGCACATTACTTGCATATTTTTAATACCTAAATAACCATACCTTTTAAAATCCTCTTTACTGTATCTTTTTGTCGTTTTCTGTTCTTTGTTGGAAAGTTTTATTTGCTTACCTTTTCTTTCGTTTTCTTCTATATTTTTGTGATAATATGCAGGTTAGATCAGATGGCTTGTCTGTTACACTGGGGATTGCTGCTGCTACTGGATTATGCTTATTGTCTTTTTCAGAGGTATGGTTTTTGAACAATGTTACTTGGTTGTGAGTGTCGGATAGGGATATGTGTCGGAGATCGGTAGGCTCAACTTTTTCCAAGTTATGCATTTGGATGGTCCTTGGAGGAATGTGTCCTTACATGTTCGAAAAATATGTAGGCCATGAGTACTTTAAGAGAAATGAAGAGTCTGAGCAATATAGTTTTTAAGTCCCTTCTATAGTACTTGGGGTATTTTTCATCAAAACAACTCAAATAGTGGTTTTCTCCCATCATTTTCAGGTAGAAACTGTTCTTCAACTTGTGGGCTCAGCTGCTATTATTCAGCTTCTGAGCAAGAAGCTCCTATTTTCAGAGGTAAGTCTCCACTTCTATTTGAGTATTTTTTCCATTAATTTAATTTAAATCAAGTATTTTGTGCCTTTGTTTTTCATCCTCCTATTTGTAACAGGATCGAAAGCAAACTCTTAAACAAATTGATTAATTCTTAAGCACAAAAGTGGCTCCTAATGAACTCGTTGACGATATAAAGGTAGCCAACTTTGTATTAATCATGCTTATTATTGCATTCTTTATTTATCTGGTAAGTGAGGTTGGTTTCTTGCCGAGAAAAGCTATTATGGGAAGAGAAACAAACTATGTTGCATGTGCTGAACTTGTCTGAAATGCCATGCGGCTCAAACATAGATATCATATATGTTCAACACGGGTATATCGAATTCCATTGCAAGATTTCATTTATTAATTTGGAGGATCATATCCCTAATTCATATTTCGATAAGTGTCAGATATAAATGTCATGCATAGACATTTTTTAAAAGGTCGAGGCAACATAGTTGACATGTATTCTCTTTTAACCACTGTTGTTCTATATTTGCATTTGCCTTTGAACTCAGGAAATCGGGGTGGCCCTTATACCAACAACTACTACTAGCAAGGCTCTTCTAGCACCTACAGAGGCAAAACCAGAGCCAGAAGATGAAGTATTGGCACAATCCGTACCCAAAATTAATGCAGTACCGAAACTTGCATAGAAGTATGATGATTTACAAATTTATGGCCTTTGAGACTTGTGATCCATTCCTAATTCGTCAGGTAAATGTGTTACGTTAGCTCCTTTAATATTACCATTACCAGAAATTGTAAATCATCATACTTCTATGCAAGTTTCAGATAACAACATTGTTTCTATCGAAACAAACAGGAGCGTGATAACCCTACATTGACAGAGTGGGACCGATTTGCACATAGAGAGAATATATTAGACTTTCAATGGAAGATGATGTCGAAGATGCCTCTAATAGAAGTACAGATGTTTGGAATGAATTGATTGAGGCTCCCTTCTAAGTTGAATAAGGTAAGCTTGTCCAGTTCACATTGTGTTGTTTTGTTTTGTTCTGGCTTTTACATGCATGGTTTGAGGGAAAAATGAACGAATTTTTTCATATGCACATGCGAAGGATTTTAAGGCCTTTGCATGCATGGTTTGAGGGAAAAAATGATGAATCATGCAATTGGAGCCAGCTTTACCTAAACAATTTTTCATATGAACGAATTTTGTCGGGAGACTGTAAATCGAAATCCATGTATAAGAAAGCTCGAAACATTTTAATACCCTTTCGTTTCTTGATTTCTAAGGTACTATCTATGTTCATATTTTCTACTCTGGGTCCAGGTTGGTTCATTTGGTAGTAATTTTAATAGTAATTTTCTTCGGAAGAAAAATTAATCAGTACAATTTTGGGTGCTTTTTGTAGTCATATCATACATACACATTAGTCATACAACTATCATATGGACTTGAAGTAGGATGCTATTATAAACAAATTAATGCAAGTACTTATTAGCAAGACTGAAAACTGTGAATTCGTGTCATGATAATGGATATAATTTATATGGGAAGTTTTACTAATTAAATGTGTAAAATTTATTTTTACATATGCTTCAAAGAATGCATATGTAATTTGAAGCATATGTAAAATTGGTCATTTTAGTACTCTTTGATAGTTATATACTTCACTTTAAATAAGTATAAATTATATACTTATTTCATATTTTTTACTTAGGTTGACGAAGGGAAGGAAGAATACACGGATGATGACATTGATGATATTCGCAAAGAATGGGTATCTTATGTGGCAAACTTTATCAGGTCGTGATATTTTGTATCGACATATGATTACAATATTTTTGATAACTTAATGTGAATATATTGTATGCAAACGAATTGCTTATGTATAATATGATATATATATTTAGTATTATGAGGCATTAAATGTGATTTAGTTTGATTATTTGTCAATCTACAATATATATATATATATATATAATTTACGACATACAATCACGACACATGAATGTGTGTCATCTTTTCTAATGGCGTGTGCTTCAATGACACGCAATGTAAGTCATATATGCATGTCATAAATTTATGACACACAAATACGTGTCATCTTCATTTATGACGGGGGCTTCAATGACGCTAAATACGCGTCATAAATGTGTGTCATAAATGCGTGTCATAGATTTATGATACACAATTGCGTGTCATCTGAGATTTATGTCGGTGGCTTCAACGACGCGCATTTTTGTGTCATCTGCACCCATAGATGACGCGCACTGAGCGTCATTAAAGGGGATTTTTCTAGTAGTGATCCATTTCATCTAATACATAAATGAAATCCAAATTCTAAAACCACGTCACATATAGAAGTTGAAACAAAAATACAAATAACATTATGTAATTAAATAACTATAAAGGTAATTTGATCAATATTTTTGTGAGTTTTACTATAAAATCAATGAAAATTACACGAATTAATTTACCTCAATGGTTAAAGGGATTATTATTATTTCTATAGGTCACTAGTTTGAACACCAGCAACTGCAAGGTGACTAAGTGTTCATTGTCAACTAATTAAGAATATTTATAACAAATAATATTTTGTAATCACCTTAGCTTAATCAAAAAATCAAAGAAATTTTTTATTTTTTTATTTATCTATGCAACCACAATTGAAATAAAAAGTATAAATAATTGAAATAGAATTTGGTTTAGTCATTAAAATAAACCATAGTTTTACTTTTCTTCCTGTTCCAGTTTCACGCCAGTGCTTCATTTTTACGTATTCATTATGTGACGTAAGGATTAAAATTGATGATTGAAAGTTCCATATTGATGTTCTTGACTACTGTTGTGATCCTTCTTTGTTTTGGGAGAAATCCTAGCGAAGGAAACTTTGAGGATTTGTTTTCTTAATCTTAAATTCTACTTATTGTCAAGGATAGACCGAGTTAACCGAGTTGAGCACCCTGAAAATTTAAAATTGTCACATATTTTAAATTTTTTTCAATATATTTTATATTGAAAATTTATTTTCGCTCCCTTAGTTTGCCTCTCCCTATGTTTAAATTCATTTACGTTAACATAAAATCATGTCCGTACCTGCTTCTTGTTCATGCTGATGTCGCTACTCTCTCTATTATTTTTGATGATAATCTATTTTGTTTTCCAAGACAAAATGCAACGTAAAGAAGAAACGAAGAAGAGCCGGCAAGGGGCCGGCTGCCGTTATCAAATTGCATTGGATGTTTCAGTTTTGGAAGCACTCTTTTGATGGATATTTTGGGAACATGACTGACAAATGCAAGCAAAACATGGAATTTGATTAGAGCAATTTTGTTTGTTTGTTTGTTTGTTAATTGTCATGATCGAAGTTTCCTTGGATGACTTGTACCTGCTGTAATGCCCAAGCCATGTGCCAAAAAATTGCCAACTCCATGCCCTCCTTAGGCTCTGCTCTCTTTGTCGTGTCTGTCTGCACGTCCCTGTCCCTTGCGTTTACATTTGTAAAATTGTTTGATTCTGCTATCAGGTCCTTGTACTCTTTGCGCATTTCAGATTTAGTCCTATATTTAATTTTAGGAATCTAGTATTCTTTTACCCACATCATCCACTATCTCCATCCATTAAAAATAATGCAACCAGAACAATCAGCATCAACCTGCAACAATGGCATCAGACTAGCTGGTGGAGCATCAAGGCGCACACGACTGCACGTATGCATGATTTTATATTTGAGTCCGAACTTCTAAAATTTTAAAAATGTAGAATTCAATGTTGAAAACAATTTTTCAATAAAAATACTTAAAAAAATCTAAAATATATAATAATTTTAAATTTTCAAGAGTAGCAACTACCTCATCCATCCCCTCAGTCCATCTCTGGATGCCCTCCAGGTTCTGTGCCATGTTCGCAAGGTGGTCAGCGCAGCAGTTATCTCTACTTTACCTGGGCATTCAACCAGTGTTTGAACAATTACTTGATGCATGAAGCACTCACGTTATCTCACCATAGATTAAACTAATGTATGTACAATATAGATGGTGTGATTCATCATGAAATTTAATTTTTTTCGGTTAATTATATATTTTATTGATAATATTCACCTTAAGATTTATTTGTGCTCATTTAATTAATTTTTTTTATATTATTAACATATATACGTATAATTTTAATAATATTTCTGAATCTGTCACAAACTATTATTGTTTTATCAAATATACGCACTAACGCTTCTTCCAGTATCTTTGCACTAGAATCCAAGGATGGACATAGAGGAAACAAGTAAGGGCGATCGTCTCCCTAAAAATATAAAATTATCATATATTTTAGATTTTTTATGTATTTTTTATTAAAAATTGTTATTACCCCAAAAATTTTATAAATTCAAATTCATCCTCTAAAATTTTATAATTACAAGTTTACTACCAACTTAAAATCCTACGTCCGTATAAGATCCGAAAGAAGCGATGGAAGACCAACAGAATGTACAGGAAATCTCTCTAGCTCGTATCAAATTGCAGGTCCAAGATAATCCTGTATAACTAGATTAGTTAGTATATTCAGTTTCTGGCTCCAATAATTATAGTCACTAGAAATCAAGAGGATGCAAATATTTACCAAGCCTGAACCATCACCATTATACGGGTGTAAACGAGCCGAGTTAAGATAGAGTATCGCTGAGTTCGATTCGACTCGAAAACTCTAAAATACAACTCAACTCGACTCGACTCGAAAATTAAATATATGAAAGTCTTACTATATTTTTAAAAAAAGTCAACACATAAATATTAATATTATTAATAATTTATTTAAAAAATAAAATCTTAATATATTATATTACTCACGAGCTTTTCGAATCGAGTATCAAGTAGCTCGTTTCGACTCGTTAAGAATACGAGTCGAGCTCGAGTCTAGTCCATTCGATCCGAGTATTTATCGAACATTGACCGAATCAATCTCAAATAACTCACAATCTGTCTCGTCTCATTTACAACTCTAATCACCACCAATCCACCACCATACAATAGCAGTAGAATCATAATAATTTTAAGTTAATGATTAGATGTAAATCTTCATTGATTTGGTTTTCTTTCTTTCAACGTCCTACTTATCTTTTTATTTTTGTTTAGATTAATTAAATATTTATATACGAAAATATTGTCAAATATTCAACTGTAAATTATTAAAATTAAAAATAATACTCTTCTATCCTATTTATATTGTCAATTGTTGACTTTTCTCGTGGTTTTAGAAAAGAAAAAAAATTATGTAAGAGATGTATTATAAAAGATTAAAATGACAATTTTATCCTATAAAAGTTAAATTTTAGGATAAATTATACCAGTGGCCACTTAATTATAGTCTCTTTTTATTTTGATTACCATTTTTGAATTCTTGTCAATCAGGCTACCCAGCTATTTAAATGCATTTAATCAAATCATTTGCCGTTAACATTTAACCTGACATGGAAGTTAATAAAATTGAAATAATTACATATTTGATCACTATTATTTATATATTCTCTCAAGTTGATCCCAATTTTAATAAATTAAAATAAATTTAATTTTCTAA